TGGAGGCGGAGTTTTTTTCGCGGAAGATTCCTTTAAGGTTGCAAACACAAAAACCTTGTTTGCGTAAGGAATTAGTCTAGCGATCAAATCGTATAATGTGCCTCAAAATCAGATTCGGAATCATTCGCACCCGTTCCATTCAAGCCTTCCACTTCTCCGGGGTCGGTGTGAAAAGGATTGTGGCTGACATTTTGAGGAAGCGAAAAAACTGAGCTGTTAGGCGACACTAGGCCAAATACGCATCCAAATGCCACTACATTCGAAGCAAAAATTGAGTACGTGGCGCACTGCAAAGCGGATTTGATCATCATCATAAACTTTGAAGCACCAAGCGACGGTTGATTTTCTACGAAAGAAGCTGAGGTGAAAAAACGAACCGGTGGACATTGAGCTAGTTTCTCGGCTGCTACCATTTGGACATTCATATTTCGCGACTGTGATTTGTTCCGTGATTTTATGAGACGTTGCAACACCTGGAAAATAAATAATTAGAAAAAAAATAGTTCGTTTAGAACTGGTTGTTTAGCGAGTCCTCGACTTTCTGTTTCTATTTCAGTGATCCCATTTTCGGGAGCAGATGTCACGTTACCCGGGGTTTTCCAGTGATGATGAGGGGGTTATTCGTACGAGAGGGACATAGGACACATTTTTTTCCTGAGTTTGAGGAAAACATAGGATTTTTTCTGATGCACTTTTATTCCTGTATCCGGCCGCCTTATAACTTTACGTAATGAAAAGAAAACAGGCCTAAGGAAGTTACCGAAAATTGGGAGAAGAACAATCAAAATCAAAGAGGGAGAGGGGAATTTCTAGTGAAGTTCCAAAAGTTTCTCGACACCAGAAAGTATTTTACCCCTACCCCTTCTTCGCCTTTAGCAGTAGGTCGATGGGCTTTTCTTCCAGAAAATTGTAAGGTGGGGATGGATTAGAAGGGTCAAGAACAGATAAGGAGGGAGGAGGGAGCTCTTTTAATGAAGTCCCTGCAAGTTTCTAAACGCCGAAGCGAGACGAACTTTGTGTGAATCGAATGGAATTTCTCATCAGCCATCTTACCTTGGGTGAACTGATTTTTATATACACATGAATCGGTGCGAGACTAGTTTTGGCCAGTTGGCTCGGATGATTGATGGTGTCACAGTCGAGAATGACGAGCTGCATTGAACGAGCCAATTCGAAGATACGCTCGATTTCCGTTTGGATCTCGGCTGAAATGGACGAGATTGATGAGAATATAAAGGCAGAAAATAAGACTGACTTTAAAGGCAGCGATTAGGATAGGTTCTAGAGAGGTTTAGAAGAGATATGGGGTGCTCATGGTACATCATTGGCGAAAGAAGCAGAGAAATCCGTCAAAAACGCAAAATGGGACCCCCTTTTTGGCCGTTGATTTTCACTCATGAACAGGCACAGCTAAGAAAGCGGACGTATGAACGAGTTCACCGCGTTTGGTGGCACCATGCCAAACCATGCTCCAGTCGAGTTGCTCCAGTTGTGCCGCTGCTGGCAACGCAGCTCGTCCAAATCACCAACTAAACTAGTGGGTGGATCGCTTTGGGGCGGAGCGCTTTTGAAGTCCTGCTCAGCAACCAGCGCACCCTTCGCCGTGGAAGCGCCCCCCCCCTTCCTCCTCCCTTGCTTCGTTTCCTATTTTGTGATACACCACGCATTTGACTCGCATTTGGGATCGTAGTGGTGGTTCAATGCTTTTCAAGTGGGGACCATCTAATGAACAAATCAGGATTTTTCACTTCAAATGGCGTTTATATCTTCCACCCGATGAGTGTAGTGTACGGTTGACGAGGGTGAGTTCTAATAGCGGATCTGATCCCTGTCAATTGCGACATGTAGTTGCAGCTTCACTGCCCATCCTGCGGCCAGCGAATGGATAAAATAAAGGGAACCATAGTGAAAATAGCGTACTTATCGCCCACACTGCAATTTCGCGCCATGACGCTAAACGCGCTTCAGTTGCATGGCAACACCTTATTATTTTTGAGACTTTGCTCTTCAATCTCCCTGGCTCTTCCTGAATTTATGACCTTCCTGAAAGGGACTCCAAAACTACACCCTTAGTGTTGTTTCTAGCGTCTTCACTAAATCCTTTTTGCATCAACTAAGGAAAATCCTAACAATAGCAAAAATGCTGAAATAAAGGGAAAGAGAAGATAAAAAGGTAATGTTAAAGGGAGAAAGGGATTGAGAGTATTGATAATAGAGCATAAGAGTATGAATACGAGTAGATTGATGTGCATCTCTACCGGCTTGTGACTTGATCATAGACTCGCTATGCATCGGATGAGGCAAATTTGCGCACTAATGTTTACTTTGCATTTCGAGACTAACTATCAGAAATCGATTCTAATCACGAAAGCTATTTGTAGAAGAGTCGAGACCCAAAACATATAAACAACAAGTCTCAAAATAGAGTTGTAGCTTGACACAGCGCCGCTAGAAGCCATCTGCTAGCAACGCACGCATTTTCATAATTTCCGTCCCAGGATTTCAGAAGCGCCGTTCAGAAGGGTTCATATTTGATAGAACAGACATTCCTCTCCAAGATGCTAATAAGAAATCATGTATATCGGTCTAATCCTGAAGAGCCTCTCGTCGTGACTGATAAAGTCGGGAATCTGTACGGCACACTGTTCCCGAAGCACTCTTCCTCTACTCTGAGCAACAACCCTAGATCGATTTGGCAGGGTAAAAGCGGTCGACAATGAAATTGTGGAGTTGACTGCAAATGAGAAAGAAGGAAGGAAAACCGCCGATGAAGGCCCTAAACAAGGACTCCTCTCTTCCCTTTGAAATAAGGAGGGGGTGTGGCCGGACGAGCTGTCCGAACAAGCTTTCTCCGCCAGCTTAATTGCTGGCTCGTGCCAGTAAGAAATGCAGCGATTAAATGATTCAAACAACGAAAACAATCTGAGAACCGACACATTTCTTCCAACGCGGCTACAGTTATACACGCAATCGCGCGATCTCCATGGCAAGCAAGAGCGGACCCCACTAAAGGTGGATCTCACGAGCTGGCGCCTGACCAAATCCTTCACTGGCAGCTATACAAGGTGTATTTCTGCTTCAGCAACATTGTTTCGATAAGGGCTCACGCATTTTGTCCCGTTAGTATCCAAAATATTGGGTCTGTTGCTTAAAATTTTCCAAATATATAGGTGCACAAGAGATTCTAGTGAGAAAAGTTGCTAGAGTTGACTCACCAAGGCTGTTACTGGTTCGTGAATTTGCTCGTTCCATCAACGCCCTCTTGTTGGGATTGTTCAGTAGTGACCGCTTCGCCAGAGAGATATCGGCCGTCACTCGAGTGATAATGATCCTGAAGTGGAGTTCGATAAGATTACGACATCTGGACAGCAGTGTCATCCGACCCTTCGCACTATTCAAACGAGGGGGTCGCATTTCCAAGTTAAGCAAGGCTAACTACCTCAGGAAAACTGTGAAGTAAACGCCTGTTTTGGAGGAAAAGTTTGAGCAGACTGGTTTGAGGCGACTGCTTTCAGAACCAAAGTATAATGATGGGGGTAGGAAGGAAAGGTGTTATCTGGGTTGTGTTGATGGAGAAGGCTGATGGTGGAGGTGGGGCTCGCATTGACACCCTCCTAAAAGGGAGTAGGTCGCAAATTTTTGAAAAAGTGCGAACGCGACTGTTGACCCTGCTGGACAGCCTCGTTTTAAAAAAGACCATGTGACGGGGAATTCTAGCAGCAGTGCCTGCTTGCCAGGGTCAGCTGCTCACTGGCCCGGGTTCAACAAGAGCGTTGTTACGATTTTTGTTTTATCTTGGTGGTGGAATGGATCACATAGCAGGCGCAGTATGCATTTCACTTCTAGAAAAATAGGCGGGAAATTGTTCAAATATCTTCCGAAAAACGGGAGCAATATGACGTAAGAAATTTGGGAAAATCTGAAAAGTTTCATCCATTGTGACAGCCTTTCCGGGGACTAATCGACACTTAGTGAGCAGGGATCAGGCTAATTGCACTACGGCATCGAGGGAAAGCGCTCAGGCCTCTAACAGAAAAGGTTCTGCTGATTGGCCCAAGCAACGTTTGACCCTGCTTCTTCCCCAACAAATGCATATGCTAGCATTTTCAGATATGGAACTGGGGACAAAGCTATCAGGTGAGCTGGCCAAGTGAGTAGGAACCTGCTCGTTCACGCTGACCATAAATGGGCCTCACCCAAGAGTTCGAAAGAGCGCTCGGCATCAAATTGCAACGACCCCACCCATGTGAGGAGCTATGGCATTTGCCCAGTAGTTTTACACGCATTTTAATACCCAAAACGTGCTTATAAACTCTTTTAACACCCCCCAAAGCTAGACAGTACTTCCTTCTATAAGCCGTGAAACCAAAACAATTCGTACCTGCCCTCAAATCGATGCTTCAGATAATCGAACACCGCTTTTTGCATCATATCGGTCACTTCGTAACCTTTGAGGCTCGGGCCAACAAGAACAACCGGCCGCATCGACGGCACGACATCGTACGGCGGCAGATTTTCTTGCTGGAAAAGTTACTCACTGTTGGATAGAACTTCTCAATTTCAATTCAAGCTAGGCATCGATTTTTTGAGAGATAAAAGACAGAACAGTAATCAATACTCATCTTTCACTCATGTACTGAAAGCTTCGGCTCCATTAAGCTAGCAGGAACACCGCTGATAGTCAAGCTTACCTTTTTGAATATCAGTTTCTTCTTCTCTTTGGTGGGCGGAGTCGTGACAATGTTCGTTATCTTTCTAGCACTGTATTCGTCATCTTCTGCAAATCATCTTGTAAACAGTATGAAGAAACGACCGATTAACCGTTGTGGTAGACTGTGAAGAGCACGCCACCTGATGGGGCGAGAGTTGATCCTCGTGATTCGCTGCGTGGCATCATGTTGTCCAGGGCACCGAGGTTTGTCGTCGACGTTGACTGCTTACTGAAATGGGACTTCCTATAAGGAAAGTATTTAATGACCCTGCTCTGTTAACATTACTGGACTGTAAGGGCAATTTGAATTTGGCTACCACTCACAACTTTCCAGCTTTTGCAGTTTGCTGTCGAAGTGACTCGAGCTTCACCGGCGATGGAATGAAGCCCAAATCATGTACCTTCCATTGACTAAAACCGACGATTCCACCAACTTATAATATTTCTGAAATTTCTTTTGACTGGAACTTGCTGAATACTGATAATCTAAGACCATAATACTGTAGGATAAATGGGTGATATTAACTAAAAAAGTGCGCAAGTTGGTGCAGTGGCAAGCGGCGCTGCTTAACGCATGATATCCAGGATTTGTTCCCCTTATAGCGAGCGTGGTAAGCAGCGCCATGTGGCACTACACCACTTCAGCCCTCCAAAACCTACATATATCCAGAAAATAGTAAAAAAAGTGAAAGCGGATGAGCACCTCCTTAATATGCAGGAAATCCTTGACTTTGAAAGAGACTGCAATCCATGCACGGGTGAATCGTCGTCAAGCGAACCATCATATTCGACATTCGTGCAGACAAGCGAATGCTACCGGTTTGTACTGAAATGGTGATGGTTTCGTGAATTATATGGCAATCATTAGAGAGAAGAGGATGAACTATTTTTTAAAGGCACGGGTCACTATTAGACACTTAGAGAAACTCTACTGTAGTTAGATAAGAGTAACCGTACTGTCACTAAAAAGTGCGCATTAAAGGAGGTAATCCATTCCCTTCTTCGCTGCAACCGCTGCCATTCTTATCAATCACAACACACAAGCCGTCTACGCTCTCTCGCATCACGTGCTCTCTCGCGCTTTCCCCCAACTCGCAGCGCTGTGTCTCTTCGTGGTACAATTGCCTACCTTACAAGAAAAATTTCAGTGTTTTATTCAGTGATTTTGCTTTTTTCCCACTAGCACTCCTATTCGCACTTCTTGTCTGATTTCCGAGCAAAATAACACACCAACTCAATCGCAACCCGTGCCTTTAAAGGATATGACATTATTGTACTATACACTATTGTATCAGAACTTTAACACAATGATAACAGTAGTCCATTTTCCTTTTAGGAGCCGCCAAACTCAGGTTTATCAAAAAATAGCTGCATAAATAAAAACGTAAAAGGCCAATAGGAAAGCGATGAGCGATATAAGAAGGAACCGTGAGCAGATTATACAATGAGAGCTAATGATGAGTTGCTTCATTTTGATGAGCCCCTGTGAGCCATGCTTATGACATTCAACCGGCATCACTGAAAGGATTGAAAGTGTACTCGATAGCTATTGAACAAATTCTGCCCAAAGACGGAAAGGAGCGCCTTCTTGTTATGAGTAAGATCGATATCAGAGAATTCTCTATGTATGTGAGCTTTGGTTGGTCTAGATGGGTTTAGCTCAGTGCTATTGATAAAAGCAGGTCTTCTCATGCACCGCTTTTACCCTGGGTCACAACAATCGATTACTACAATCCACAGGTAAAAACAAGTGGGTAATTTCTGCTACGGCGGACTGGGAAAATTACAAAGAGGAAAGCTTATTTCCTCGTTCGCTGGACTTGCATCAAGGCATGGACGCGTCACAAAAAGTCAAGCTCCCTGTGAATCCCGCAGGCGACAACGTTCGTGGTCGTGTCCAGGCCTGTATTGAGGTGTTTTTCACAAGATATCACGTAGTAGCTCCAAAAGAAGTAGAGGTCGAAGTCATAAAAAGAAAAGTCGGAGTCATAGCAATCACATCTGGAACGAGCTAGGCCGATACCATGATAGTCTCGCAATGAGAGCTCACGACCACGAATGTTTGTATGCAGCAGATCACGCTGCCAATTATTTCTCCGATGCTGATCGGATGTTATACGTACGGGTCACACCAGAGAATTAATTATCAAAAAGCAGCTCATCTTTCTCTCTCATTATTTCTCGGGCCCGAAAACTGCACCGTCAAGATTGAAAAGGAACATTTGTGAAAGAGAACTGAAAGCAAGATCAACTGTCGTGTCGTGCCGTTCAGAAGGTACTCGACGAACCATACACTCTTCAAGGGGTCTCGAAACGACCCGCCCCACCACCACGTAATGGGAAAGTCTCCCATACGACCCTTTCCTTCTCATCAACCCGAGCTCTCACCCTCATTACCATGCCTTTTTTTCTGTACAGTTTGATTCTATCTGACCATGAGACTGCTGGCAACCGGCAAATACGCAAACTTCACCTATTTCAATGGTTCTTCTTGAAAGGCAAGGAGAACAAATACCTCATTTCCACAAGTCATGCTTTCTTTGTAGGAATTCCGCCAATTTTGTGGAGAGACCCTGTCGGAAAAAAACCCTCTATCTCTTCTACTGCAACACGACCCCCTTTGAAGACTCAAATACGAGTCCCCTTACCCCTTACAATCGGTTTAACCCTGAGGAGCTACCCTATTCAAAGATCTTACAACCACCTCCTCTGTTGATCATCGCTCAACGGGGGTTGAGCCTGACTGACAGGCCATTCTAAACGTGTTCACTCGACGTTAGAAAACTTAAGTATTTTAGTTGACTCTACCGGAGCCGATTGCTTCTGTGACGTGTGAGCCCTGAAGGGGAAACGGTCCAGAGAATGGCTACGTCAATCCCTTTCTTACCGATTTTTCCTTTCCCGAGCAGATTTTATAAAACTGCCTTTCCAGCTGAGCAGTTCACTCAGAAGCCAGCTGCTCCACTCGCAATTCCTCGAAAACGGTGGATTTTTTGCCACATTAGGAAAGCTAACACCCGAAATTCATTCGAGCAGACGTGCACTTAACGCTGGAAATTTAAATTGAATTCGATAAAATGCGACCTGTTTTCTGCATCAGACCTCGCAGAGGACTCGGTGGGAAAGAGAAAAGCGGTCGTTAATCACTTCAAATCCTGAAACAGGCCCACATTTTCCATTTTCGGCATGGAATTTGGATAAGGTTTCCAAAAAAAAGCTGCGTCTCAAAACGCACCCAAGTCAAAAGCTGTCACAGCCGTTACATCGAGGCTAAAGCAAAAAGGGATTTGTATTCGCAGACTTCCCCCCACTCCACACCATAAATGAAAGGAATCGCGCTGGATTCCATGCCAACGCAAGGCTTCAGATCCTCCGACGCAAATGACAGCCATAATTCGAAAGTGCATACGATGGCAGGTGGTAAAATGCGGTCTTACTATGGATACATCAGAAAAAGAAAAGCAATAGCCTCATCGCAGGATGGATTGCGATACTCTCCGGAGCAGATTAGACGCGAGCCGGCCGCCGAAAGCAAGATCCGCAAGTAAGTGTGATACAGCATATAAATGGCAAGATTTAATATGAGATACATTCACCACGGTTTGACAACTTCATTATTTGTCCTTTCTCCGGTAATTGTGTGCATAGCAAATAAATAAATAAACAAATAAATAATAAAAAATAATAAACAAATAAATGCAGAACTGAAATAAAAGCTCTCCTACTGCGTGTAAGCTTCCTAACTGTATATGTGCGTAAGGACTGTCTATCTCCTTTCCTCAATGCACGTTGTGGCGGGTATCAATCTTGACGTCGCGTCCCGTCTGGAGAGAGATAACCGCCGCATATAATACATGGCCCTCGAGTGAAAGACCGAGTAAGGATCGATTGAAGTAGGAAACCTTTGCCAGTTTCATTTGCTATGTCCCGTGTCAAATGATAGCAAAGATCCAAACTCCGACTTGGAGTGAACCTTTCTCTAATTATCGAGCCAATATGGGAGCCAAAATAACCCGGCGTGGCCGCATCTTCGCGCCCTTCTAAATGCAAATGGAGTTAAGATCCAGGAGCATTGCTCAGGCGGTTTAGAGGCTAAGGGCAGGCATAGGGCCAGTTCTTGACCCGGGCGTTTAAAAATTTGGAATGTTTAACCCTATTTGCACCGAGACATGCGCAGACGTGTACCACCTCGCGACCGGCGACCTGCCCCCTCCCACCAAGGCCTAACAGAACCTATCGAATCGTTTGATTTCCGTCAGAAACCTGCACGAGCGACGGGGAACGGTTCCATCTGTCAGTTGGTACCGTCGTGAGAAGTGTTGTGGGTCTCTCCATCTCTATATGCAAAAAAACATTCAGTCTAGTCTAGTCTAGTCTGAACTAAACACGCTTAAACTTTACTCTCTACTGTCTGAATTCGGAGAGCTTCAAATCCAGTTTTTTATGACGCGTTGCCTTGTGTGCAGTCGCTCTACCACGCACTTCGTTCCTTGCGCCTCCTTAGCTCCGCCCGGTGTCCATGAACTGTCCATAAAGTTTGAAGTATATCTTTGAGATTCACAGGACTTTTTCACTTCAGAACCTCTATGATATATTCATGCTGATACTTTCTGCGCTGCAAGAGTAATAAGCCAACATAATCTGCAAGTTATTGGATGAACACTCAATTCCGTACACAAGCTCTCAAACTAAACGTATACCGTGATCAACTATTGAAATAAACATAGGGCATGAAAAACCCCGCATAATTTTCATCTACACAATCCATCAAGATAATCACATCGGTATTGGTCAAGCTTGCAAGGTGCAATTTCGCGGTACCAATGAAAAAATCAGCGCCCAAAACAAAACCAGAACATGACCGAATAACGGCTTTCATTAAATGGACCAATTGTGCGTGAAAAATATAGCATAAACTGCAAGCTAATCTATCTTCCCGAAGATAACAATTCTATTTAATTATAACTCGCACGCTTATCGCACGATAGAGAATTACTAGGTATTTGTGGTGCGTTCAAAAAGCGAGTAAATCGTGCCTCTTCTTTGTTCAAAACGAACTACCCAGCCCCTGACGGCAGATTTGTTCCCTGTGGTAGGGGTGAAGACAGCTTCACCGGTGCTTTTAGCTTTTTCATTTTCCACGACCATTTTTGTTTCTCAAATGCATTGATATGGCAATCACTCTTAGCTCACTCCTTGAGGATCCCCCCGTAAATAATTGCCGATACGCAGCCAAAGTTCATAGAAAATTTGAGCCGTTCTCAGTGATTCGTAAACACATGCGCATACTACAATCACAGACAGCGAATCACAGTCGTTCCTGATCAGAGAGAAAATGTAAAGGAGGCGCACACGCTCTACGGCACCGAGACTGATTTTGCGGCCCCCTTACCATCGGATTTTGTGAAGGTAAGAGAAGACAGAGTGAAGTTTTTTATTCGGGAACTTTTCAACCCTATTCCAATGTGACTTCCCATCAGAAAACAGTTACGACTATTTCAGTAGCGACTTTCCGACATTTTGAAGCAAAACAACTGTTCCTATCAATGTGTTTTGTCCTCTGCGTTAACAAAACCGTTCGATATCATCCCAGGCAATGCGACCGCCCTCACACTTTCGAACCACATACATAATCTTTCAAAACTTATAACTCTGAAGCTGCATTTAGGCGAATTTTTTCGTCAGTTGTGAGTACCAACCGGAAAACAGTTTATAACCAATAAGCTAAATTCCGCTTACTTCTGCCCTAACAAATATTATCGCTAGTAAAAAATAAATTGATCGATCTGCTTGGATTGTTGTCAGCTTCAAGCTTTGAAGAAGGGATCAACTCAGCTCTTATCAAGCTGAAAGTTACAAATGTCGAATTCAGAGCGAAAATTGCACTCGACCCAGTGCAGATACAATTACAGTCCCGCCAACAAACGCTATTCAGAGTCTAAATGAATCCTTTAAACCAAGAGTATCGAACCAGCAAAGAACCTCTTGCCTTTGTATGAATTACATGTAACCAGAGAACGTTGCATTTGCTATACATCCACTCTAATACTACTCCAAAAAATGCTTTTTTATAAAAGAAATGATCGACCAAATCGCATTTAAATCTGCCCCAGACCTAACCCAACACCCACAAACCACATAAGTACTGTGCCGAATGTGACGATTCATGGCGTCAATACCTAAAAGGATTGAATAACCTTCGACACTGTTCTTTTTGGTCTGCACAGGTCTCTGTGGACCTTTGCAATGGTCTTCGTAAAGCATACATTATACGAAGTTTACGAAGAAAGGGAAACTGACCTAGTTGAGGGACCCACGGACCTCCTGAGGGTGCGAACTGACGCGCAATTCGCATGGAAAAATTTGACCTCGGCGACCTATCATGCCTCAAAGCTGGCGGGTCCGGCGATCTCCGCCCACCGATCATCTGATCACTCGCCGTAGTTCTATACGTGGCGAGTGATTAGATAGCAGAGAGAGCGTAGTGTTGAAGGAGGGCACAGCGATGAGAGTCGCATCAATGCTCGAATCAACGGGCAAGGAAGGGGTACCATTTCTCGGGTTCTGGGCCGTTTCTCATGGTTCTTCCTTCTTTCGTGTACCACTCACCATCCCTAGGTTAATTTGAAATGGGTTGCTTTTTCATCGTGAATTCGTCCTTTAAGTATAGAAGGTGCCTCATGTGTATCGTCGTTCAATTGCAACTGCAGGTGAACGGCGTCTTCCAAAAAGGTCCCTTAATGCAAACAGCTAATAATCTTACCCTCACAGCTGTTTGTTTTTCTTGTTCGTTTTTTTCTTTTGCACCTGTTTTTTCCCTTGAAGAAATCTTGAGTGACAGCCGCTGAGAGCAATGCGTTCCAACGTGTGGTCCGAGTGGGTGTTGCGCTCGGCACGATCTCGCGTCTGTTGAGCTGCGATTGGTTTATTGATAAGTCGCCGCGGCTGGACTGGCCGGACCTAACGCCACACCAACCTAACCGCTGCCGCGCCGCGCTCTGCAACGAAATCCGTAATCATTGGGTCGAGGGGCGATAGATACGATGAAGCCGAACACACGCAGAATGTTTCGGATGTGTGTGGGGAAAAAGCGAGACGAGGAATAGCGTTTAATTTCCGCAAGCGTCGACTGAGGCAAATTATCGGACATCAGCACTCGGGACAAGAAACCCCAGACACACGCACCCATTGACTGCACTTCCATGAATAGCACGCCAACGCTGTCATTTAACACCTCCTTTATATGAAATTGTCCCGAAGCTCCATGGGAGCACCCATAAAGGATAAAGCTCGGAGCAATTTAACTCTACATAGCAATCCATTTTGGATCCGCTCATGCTTTGCTACTTCATTCAAATCACAGCGACATTGTGATTATGTTTTTCCGTATATGGCCTGCAGCCCATGCAAAAAGGGTCATTGTTTTCATTCTCCCAGAACATGCGATATAACCATATAAGCGACCCGAGGGAAATACGATTCGGTTGGCTTGAACGGCGCACAATCCAGGCTTTGATCACTGTAACCGTGCGCGTAATATTTGGTACCATATGTACATCTCCTCCGTCCGGACAAACCTATTTAATAACGATTTTTTTGAATTTTGAATTCCTAGAACAATTTTCTTTCGCACAGTCGTTGCATATCACAACTGTTTCGATTTACTCGAAACCTTTTTGAATCCGCCCCTTAGGAAGCTCCGTGAAAAATAATTCACTAAATGGAGCAAAAAATTCGCTTATTTCAGTAGGAAATTTCAAAATTATCTCAAAATGAAACCCGTTGGAGTGCCAAAATAATCAATACATTTAGAAGGATGGGTTAGGTCAGAAAAATTCAGGAATCGAAAAATTGCGTTCCACATAACTACAGACTAGTTAACTTCCTCTAGGTCTGGTCGTGTTTATATCTTTACTATCTAATTACTCAGTTTGAGAATTATGATTAAAATTGCCATTTACAGCTTATCTAAGTGCAAAATTTGCCTTTTTTGCTAGTGTTCTAAGCCTTTTGGGACAACATATAGTAGCTGCGATGGCAAAGGCACCAGCCAGATCGCCGCTGACCATATCGCCCAAGGTTAAAGTAGAATTTTGAAAGGGACCGTTATCGAAGCAAAAAATAAAAGAAGCCCCCGGAACCCTCGAAACAGAGCGCTCTTTTTCTTCGTTATGAAGCTTCAAAGAGATTGCCGCGATAACATTATTGGTTAGAAGTGCTGCAGAGGGATTTCGGTGACGAACCAATCGTTTACCAAATGAGAGAAAATCTCGTGGCGACCTAAATCTTCAGCGCGCTTTGCTTGAAATTTTGTGTCGCAAAGCTGGGACGAACCGCTGCTTGCCGAAATCTTTACCTTTCTCACGGTAAGGATTCATTTCAGTAATCTAATGTGAATTTGTGCCACTGAGACTGCTAGAACCCTCCCCCTCTCACATACAACATGCGGTTTGGAACAAGCATATAAACATAGCCACTAGCAACTTAAAGCTTCCGCCAAGATTTGCATGGTCTTGCACATATCCCTAGCATTTCAAAATCTAAATTGACCAGAAATCCTTCAGATAATATACCAAGTGTTGTGTCGGAGAAGTTCCCATGGGATCAACTGGCTCAACTGCATTGTCTCAACTTCCTGGTTACGCCATACCCATGAAATTTAACGGCATTGAGAAAAACAAGACAATCGCTTTTCCATGGCACATCAGCGCTCCACTTGAGGAGACGTTCTTCGAAAAAACGTAGTCAATGGGATGGAAGGCGATAAAGCCGCTGGCCAAGGGTCTATTTCAAAACCGTCGAGAAATTCCGCAGGGCAGACCTAAACTGGCCCGCTGACCGGGAAAGCCTTTCCACTTCCCATGGATCTTTGAACTGGGACCTAGATGAGTCGGTAGAGCCTGGAATGATGGTTACAAATGTGAAGACCAAAACTGCTAGGCGAACCTGCCAAGGAATTTGTTAGCGATCGTATTGATCCTAATTCGAATTCCCAGTGATGACAAAATTTTGCATTCTAGGTCGGCGATACCAGATGGGTGGCAAATGGCGTCTGCGCCAAGAATAGATGTCATATTTGTGATCAGGGTCATCAAAATCCTTTGCTAGTGAGCTTTGTCAAATATCATTACACCAAAGCTGACCGTCAACTTTCGACACGCTCACAATTTCCATACGACGCGTACAAATTGCTTCTTCATATTTTATCATCGTTCACCAAAAGTCTGTCGAGTTTCCCTAGGTCTCAGTTCCACGTTCCATGGGATGTATTGAAGTTTTTTTTTCTGGTAAAAGTTAATAAGTCTTCCAGCCAAACATGTCAGAAATTCACGTAACCCTCCCTTCAAAAAGCCAGAAAGTGTCGGGTGCAGACCATACACCACAAGTGACGACGGCCTCCAGAAAATGCAAATGTTTTTTGCCAATGAAATGATTAACCTGTTACAGTTGTATTCGATCAGTTGACACTAATTACAACTATCATTTACTAAAAATCAGCTATCACTATGAACCACTACTAACCAGATTTACTTGGAGGCCGTCGTCAGTTGTAGTGTTTGGTCCGCACCCGACACTTTCTGGCTTTTTGAAGGGGGGAGGTACATTATCATTACGAACCTATCAATAGCAAATTTATGCTACTACCAGCTAAGATTTTCCAAGGCAAAGTTATCACATGAAAGTGAGAAACGAACTAAGTTGGCAGATCTGAGTATCTCCTTCCCCAAGGCCAGCCAGGCATTCTATCCGCCTTTTGGTAGGCTCAAATGATCACTCTTCTTGAGTGACTTAAAAATGGAGCGAAACTACAACGTGACGTCCTTTTCACTGAATGCGTAGAAAATTGCCTTCGAAAGACTATTCGCAATTCATGGAAATAGCAATGCGTGGCCGCATCCCAAAAAAAGGGTTGAAGCAGCGCTATGCCTATCTTTCTAAAATCTTATCACATTTCATAAATGACATCTGAAACCACTTTTCTTCATTTCCTTGTTCAAAATAAAGGGTGCTATTGCATAATGCGGGGCATCGCGGCGGCGAAATATCAAAATTGGTCAAACAACTCGTTTTTTGAATGGGATTAAGCGTCAGGAGGAACGATGGAAAGACTCTCGCATCTGTGAACAAAGCTTTCCTTTTTCCCGCAGAGTTCTTGTTCTCTCCTAGCATAAAGTATGAGGGTGCCACAACGCCATCTTATGAAGCATCCAATAAAGTTTTGTGCACCCTATTTGATATCATCACTGCTAAAAGGGCACTGTCTCGCATATTCCATTTCAAAGAGAATGATGATTTCTTTTGCATTGAAACGTAAAGAGACGGGACACTCCCTCCAGCACTAAAGCCGCATTCGAAGGTTAGGGATAAATTATGCCACCCGCGATCAGCAACGAATGAACCACTCTTAGTGTTTTTTGACGTTTCTCTGATTGACTATGGGCACGAAAGGCTAACAGCAGCACAGAATATTCATCGGTTCCCTCAGTAACTATTTAGATATTACTACGTCAGCAACACAAAGCAGTCCCACACGTCCTAAAAGTGCAAAACGCTCACTGTAGCAACATTCAAAAAACTGAATTCCACAGCTCTTAACCGCATTTCCCCTAACGTTCCCAGCCTTCGCTCGTCAGAAATCCGCCCATCTGTCCCTTCTGGCGACTTTACTAGTTCAAAACTACTCATGCGAAACATGAGAGTGGGCGATTGGGGGAACAAGCTGGACGGGAAAGGATACATATGCGTCAACCGAGCGATCGGGCGCCCAAATGTCTTCCTTCTTCCTCCCCAGCCTTTGCCCCCCCTGGAATCAAATCGCTCTTACCGATGGCCTTCCTTAACGAAAGTTCCACCATGTAGAAATCTTCACCACGATTCAGTACATTATTAATAATCACAAATACTTACAACCTTCCTCACTTCATTATCCCATTAAACCACCTGCGATTCAGATTCAGGAGCTAAGGACAAATTAACCTTAGTTTTGGGGTCAGGATGATCTACACGTTACGCTCTATCGCCTACTTTCCAACCGTAGGCATAATCACGTATCTAACCCATTCGCAACAATGTCAGCCGTAAGATGACGGCATTATTATAGAGTCTTATTGATTGAATAATTTTCCTTAAATCCAAAGCGAGGAAGAATTTCAAGGAACTTCGAGATTATTGCCCCATACATAAATCAGAATATGTTAACGGAAAAAATTGCATGAAACTTTCTGTAGGTATTGCCCTGACACCAATAGGACACCTCTACTTGACGCTGGCGTCAAAATGAATGTCTTACTCTCGATCAGGACATTTTCTAGTCCTCCTATATGTATTAATTATTGGATGTGGGTGAAAGTTAGGGCTGTTCCAATTTATGTACACTACAATTTAGCACCACAAGCCAGAAAAGTGTCATCATACAGAGTTTGATACAGCGCAAATCTAGGGCCGTCAATAGACATGTTATGAGTAATTTTCAGCCTCTAAAGCATTCCAAATGGTCCGGACAATTACCATCAACGGTCAAACACGAGACTTGCAAACAGCCTAACCAACTGGCAAGAACGTGACGCAACAGTTGGTCACGCTCATCCACCAGGAAAACTCATTTTTCTACTTTCCTGGCTCTGACGAAGGCGACCAAAGCCGAAACGTTAGCCGAATAAAGTTCTGTATATCATCTTGGCTTGTGGCTTTAAACGCAAATCTAGGAAGAAGAAAACTCATTTTGTTTTATTCAGCAATTTTCATAATCCAAAATATCGATATAGATGAGCTCCGTATGCAAGTTATTATTACCGTATCTAAGGAAGAATGTATTCATTACTTCTAGGAAACATAAATTATTGGAGAGAATAAGCTCTACTCCTAATTCTACCGCCCGTCCTGCTGGAAAAATCCAAAGCCTAAATTCATTGAAAAACAGAAAAATATAAACCAGTAACAAAAATTTCAGAAACAATAGAAAATAAACCATCACATTTGAAAAGGAAGAAGGTGACGTGGTTACAACGCCAGAAAAGGATTTTCTTTCACAAATTCTTCGACAGACGCCTGGAATTGTAATACCCTGAAATGCTTTTTAAAACTTCTCGTCATTCGCGTTGCTGAAGCGAGATGAAAGAAGCCCGAAATAACAGCCGATGACGTAATTTCACATCGCGGATGACATCCTTTCCAAAAAGCTCCACAGAGAATTCACGCCTGTGGGGGATTTCTCGCTACTTCGTGGAACGATTATGGATTTGTGCGAAACATGGGAATGCGGAAAGCGTTTTAACTGTATGAAATTGAAGGTTCCTTCGTGGACGAACGAAGCTGCTAAAAGAAACAGTAAGCAAAATTTCTGTGGATTGTTGTCCCGAACGGCGATCCTACAACAGACTAAAGCTGAACAAGCGATTCAGGATAGCCATTCCAACAGAACCTCTCAGCTTGAGTGGCGTATGGCTTGTTAGATGTCACGAAACGAATACGCACACACGCTCTCTACAGTCCTGGATGGATTGGTGAAAGCTTGGCGCACAGCGGGGTCAGTCATTTCAAGACTATTGCTGGGTCTATTCCAGTTAGGGGGATTGGATCGATGCAGTTCCTAGGGAACAGTGTGACTCGACAACATTCGCCAGCTTTATATCACGCATGATCATTGACTGCTCTCCCCCCCCCTCCCCCCTCCACCTCTCGTTAGACTCGCTACACTTCCCTCTGGGCTCGGATATTCTGTGCCTTCTTAAAGAAAAACTGCATCATGATCTCTAACCTGAATAGGCCTGTATTAGCTTTTTTCACTTCTACACACAGTAACTGAACTAATCAAAGCAAATGCTATAATGGATTTTCTTCTCTGGTATTTTCAACCCTTGATCAAAGGAAGACTCCTCTATCGAAGTTGTTATATAATAAGAATACAATAGAAGAGGTCAACAAGAAGTCACCATGCGACGTCGCGAAGTGACCTCGCGATTATTCCTTCTACCGCATGCTATATGAAACTGGTAACTTTTAAAAGAGATAAAAAAGATCGAAAGAAATGGAATGCTTCTGAAAAAGAGAGTGAAAGGAGGCATATAAACGAGGGCAATAAAAGGCGCAGATCTACGCCCATACTGGCTTTCCATGTTTCAAAAGAAAAAACTGTGAAAAGATAAAAGAAAAAGACTAGTAAAGAAAAGTGCAAAAGTGATGGGTGATGAAAATATGAGAGAAAGTGGCTGACCTTTGCTCGTTCCAACTGAAGAGCGGCTTGTCGTTCGGCATCTCGCCGAAGTGTTTCTCGATTACCGGCCTCGAGATCGAGATCCTCTTCACGATGACTGAAGTTCGAGTCGCCACTGCCCTAAATCGGCACTTTGGTTCCTGTTCGGAAATACTGAACCACAGCTGCACCAACTTTATCCACGTAACAGCCGATGAGAACAGAAGTTCATTTTTCCTCAGCTTTGAAGAAAAATATGGTGCTAAGCGATTTGGGGGGGGGGGGAGGGAGAAAACGCGGTGGCGCGGCGTCTGTCAAACGCATGGCACTGAGCCTGAGCCTAGAAGGAGGCTCAAATGTGCCAAAAGTCAATCACAAATCATAATGTTCACAGCTTACCCACTCTTCCTAGGCTCAGGCTTAGTATCATCGCGCTTGAAAATGGCTCCGCCTTGTAGTCCCCCAAAATCACTTTGCACCAAAAATCTCATACAAGCAAAAAAAAATGAAGGAAATGCAGTGAATTTTCATCAGACTGACCATTTTTGACTGACTACGGCTTGTATAATCGCAGAAATGCTGAATTAGGGGCAAAACTTTCGCCCTTGACAGCAAGCGCGATAGCGTGACCAAAGAGACTCCGCCAGGGTCAGGCATGGTGACTAGGGAATTTTCCGAGAAAACATCTTGTGATGAATTCAGTAAAACATCTGCCGTGAATTAACATGCATGTGGTCCGTAAACCTTGCAGGAAACACATACAAGCAATATTCGTACGCCACACACTGATTACTATTTAATCGTAGGAATCTCATGGGTGCGCGAATCATTCGCTTCCGCCTTCGCACCCACCCTAGAGCGCCTTTCCCCTGCCAAAATTGGAATCACTGTAGGCGGCTAGACGTGTTGCAACCCGTGCCCCTAATAAGGAAGACCTAAGCGTTGTTTTCAGTGTCAAGTATTTTGCTTTAGCTTTTTCCTCAACTGCGGTTCTTTGTCACTCCTTTGGGATACGCATCGCACCCGCTCTTCAAAATCGCAGTTGGCATCGGTCTGCGATCTGGTCCATAGCACACGCGCGGCCCCAGTCGACACAGCGATCTGTGGTATATCCTCTGACGTACGAACGGCTGGACCAAGCAAGAATCGTATTAATAACTGATACCAGACTGTCGCGTAAAAATGGTCACCTAACTCTTCCCCCCCCCCCCGTGACAAACAAAAATAATGGAAATTATATCGATTTCGAAAGTCTTTCAATAGAGAACTTTTATTGGCCGACGTATTCGACTAATCTTCCCTCAAAGCCTCAACATCCACCCAGCACCCGACCTGCTCTACACCCGAAAACGAGGTGAAAAGACCCATTAACTGGGAATTCCTAAATCTCCAGGGTGGATAACGGTCGAGGAATTCCTCGACCATCGCTCCCTGCTTTGCGAGAATAGAACCCATAGCGAATGTACGCGCGGAGAGCACAGACGGCTCGCGTGGCGAATGGAACCATAAGATCCACATCGGAAACCCCTCGACGTACTTGAGGAATCCTCAAGCAATATTTACCCTGCCCAAATCCTTCTTAAAATCCTTAGTGTTTCTGATTACATTCGATCAACCGTTCCTCAAACGTATTCTTCATGACTGACCCCTCTGATAGAACTCCACGTTTCGTAAGGCCCCTTCCCGTAGGGCCCCTCTCCCGATCAGTATTCTTCAGAAGAAAATTGACCCTAGACTAATGTAAGTCCTGATGCGTTCAATGCTGGTTCGAGCCATTTAAGGAATAGTTCTGCCAGTAACTTAAGATCTTGGCAATTATTATACCATTCAGATACATAAAGCGACGCGCGGCAGTAGCAGTAGTACAAGAAACAAGTTCTGAGTATTCCAGTAAGACTAGGGTACGGGGCTGCCAGACTTTCGGAGCGTTCAAATAAGGGTATTTTTTGAAATATAAAGTGAAAAGTCTGGAATGAGTCATAACTTTGTGGGCAAATCACTTAAAAATTTCCCTGGTAAAGTGGCGAACCAGAAAACTCAATTTAGTGCCCTTTTAATTTATGGATGTCGCTTATTTGAATCATTTTATGCATATGAAATGTTACAAGAGTATTTTGATTTGAAGCCGTAGATTATGCTTTAACAATAAGTGGAGATGATAGCCTTCATATGAAGAACAGTTGTCATCGCTTTTTTCCAGACAAGTCATCCTATCGATTGAAAATGCGGACAAGGCTTAATTTCAACATATGTATTTAAAGCTTAAAATAAATATAACTATACATTTTGTCAGCACAAAAATCCGACCAAAAACCTCTACACATCTACTAGATCTTCGACACCACCTAATAATCACGTAATCACAAGGTAAGAAACACCGTACCTTTACCAGATCCACTGGACCAGCCAACGACAAGCACAGTACAGTAAGACTTCGGGTGGACCGTATTCAGGGTACCGGTTGGAAAGCCTTATATAGGGGGCTAACTCCCGCGTAATTGACAGGCATTCTTCCCTCCGGTTCATTTTTGGATTCCTGACATGGATCCAGAATGCCTCGAAGGTTCTGAGCGCGGAAAATTTCCAGCCAACATCCTACCATGCCCATACTCCCGCTGGTCCGGACGGATTTGCATAGTACCAGCGCTGGCTCAAGATACCACGTTTTAGCAATTTTGAAAAAGTTTTTGCAATTATATATTTTCACATACTATTTTGTCATCATATTTTCGCGTCTCGATGCTACTACGATGGAACTAGTTCTGGCCCCCAAAGTCAAGCACTCGATCGATTTAGTGGGCGAAAAAAAATTTTCTAGGAGTGGAAGAAATTCTCTCGAATCAAAAGTGGATTAACCTCTTGCCAATGGAACAAAATTTGGCATTGCTACTCCATTTGAAACAAGCGAACCACTGCTTTTTGGGACTTTTTTGAAGGTAGGTGGGGTTCTCAGGACAGCAGGAATAGCAAGACCAAGGAGAGCTCGTCGCGAGCGACCGACCGAGCATGAGGGGCACGATAGTAGGTTCCTGAAGTGCTCAATGTATGATAAGTTTGCGCGTTCATTCTTCTCAACCTCACAGAACATCATCCACTCCGAACTCCTGACACCGTCTTTCTGCCACAATTCAAATCGCCTTATCCGATCGCGGTATTCTCTTTAGCTCTGCGGCTCGAAAAAATCCTGTATTAAGCATGGCTTAGAAATCATGAAATTACGGGACTAATTAGACCCTAGTCACGCGACTATTGACAGCCGAATTATGGCCCATTCCTTCGGGAAGTAATTCTAGAAGATGGCTTTATGCATCTTTGGTTCAAAAGACACAAAAAACTCTTATGAGTTCATTTCCTTCCCTTTCACAAGAATGGTGGGCGGAGGTGATGTAGTGACGAACGGAGCTGCTTCTCATCAGCTCAGCTCGGGGGTCTAATCCCGGCTTAAATCCTCGTCAATATTACAGCCAGCTTCCAACACTCCGGGTCGCTTAATTGGTATCGGGAACTGGACCTGGAGGATAAAGCAGTGGCTGCTCATCGGCTAGATCTCGAAAATCACAGAAGTCACGTATTCAAACGCCACAACAAGACTGACGGAAGTAAAGTGCATGGCGCGTTCTCAAAAATTGATTGATCAACAGCGGAAGTTCTTGGACATTTCTTGAAAACATTTACTTAGAATGAGACATTTTTCACTGTTTACGAACCATTAGACGGGACATTCCTCAACGCAGATGATAAAGGCTGTACTTATCAACTGTTACGAGAATAAACGACAAATGAACAGGCCGACGTCGGGCAGCTGTTCGTTAACGAGTGGAAAAAGACAGCAGAAGTTAAAAATCTAGAAAGAAAATCTTCTAGAAAATACGAACGAACCCTTCGACCGCGATGAGCGAAGCCGGCCATGGCAGGCCGCTCGTGGGCGCACTGAAATTCAACACAGTCCGAAAAAAACAGCAATGGGCACGAATGAAACGATTGAAACGATTTCACAGACGATAAAATAATCAAATTAACTATTATAAAGAAAAGCTGCCCAGGAAGGAGCGCTCAACGAATCAGTCGACTCAGAGATTGAGCAAGTATCGAAATAAGCCGACAGAAAGGAGATGTGAGGTATTCCAGAACGAGAATAAAATTTAAAATAAAATACGATATAAAATGGGCCCCATTGAGTCTCTAACAGGGGGAGGGACAGCGCTGCTACGACTGCTACAGCCTACAGAAATTCCAACTTTCGCACGGGGAGGAAATCCCCGGGATGTGTGAACCATTGCCTTTCCGCTTCAGCACCCAGCATGAACTTCCTTTCTCTGGATTACTTTGAAAATGGTTACTTTGAGCACAACAAACTGTGGCTGCAAGTGCCCCTCCCCATCTCTTGATAAAACCCTATAAAATTCCTACGGAGATCTGTAAACACAGTGCTGGTTCGGTTCATGGCACTTTAGGTTCAAGGCTTCCAAAAATCTGAGAGGGCTGATAAAATGTGTGAAGCTTGCAAGCTTGCAAGCCGCGACACGATTTTGAAAATCATACGGACCAGAACTCCTAACAAATTCAAAGAAGCTTTAAATATTAAATAGCCCCCGTTAAGGTTTTGGCCACATACCAACATTATTCAAACAGATCGGAACAAAAAAGAAAAGCGAAAAAAAGAAAGTCGGGAAAATCTCAATGCAATCAGCCAGTTCAACAACACTTGAGAAGCTCGATGGGCTGAATGAAGACGAGCGCGGTAAAGGTCAAGCACAATTGCAGGTGCTTCGTTCAGAGCTAGCTGATCCAGCTCGTTATCGATTGTTTGTTGAGCACGAGGCTGAGCAATGATATCGATGGGGTGGATGAGGCGGACGGAGAGCAGCAGCAGCAGTAGCAGTAGTAGCAGCAGTAGCAGCTGGCTGGCTAGCTCGCGCTGGCTGGCTGGCTTGGTGCCTGCTTCGCCTGGCTCGGTTGGCTGGCTAGCTGAAGAGGCGGCGGCGAGAGATCTTAGCGACCGCCACGCGCGCACGCTCGCAAGCCTCCCTGAGGGCATCGACCCTCACTCAGGCCACACTCACGACGGCCCTCACGAGGAGGCCGCGCCCGTCAAAAATCCCCACCACACGGCCGTCACACATGAGCACTAGCAACACGCGCACACGGAAGAAGTTCGGGCTCATCCCGTGCGTGGTCGTTGGAGACAGCCGTCTGTCATCAACAAAGACGTCACACAGAAGTGTTTTGCTGTGCAGTGGCCTACTGCTTCCTTCATACATGACATAAAGAACTTTGAAATGCACAGCAAACAAGAACTTCTAGACTGACGATAAGTGTTTGTTCACAGGCGGGGCGTGAGAGGAGCAGCAGCGAGAGGTGCCACCACTTAGCGACCTCATTGGCTCGATCCCGCCGAAGTAACATGAAGACCTCCGCAACATAACTCCATTGAACCCAAATCCGTTCCCTGATGACCCCTCATGTGATCGGTCGGAACACCGAACCAATCGTCAAGAATAGGCAGTAGGCGGTAATCAATTTCTGGAGTGAGCCATGCATTCGTCTTTATCCGAATCGCAGAGATGTTCGACTAGCTCCGGCAATCGCCTAAACAATGAACCGGAAGATCTGTTGAACGATTTCTATATATTTTCTAGCTTCTTCTTTTTTCAAATAGTTAAGGACGCCGATAGGCGGGTGGGATACGAGAAGAAACTGCTTGAAAATGTCAAAGGGTCGCGGTCGCCCATCGCCATACTTTCCCTCATTTCTTTTTGTTGAATAAATCAAAAATAAAACTAAGCTTCGTAATTGAGGCCTGCTGCCCTCTGTAATCAACTGAAACCAGATTCTCATTTAACCGCAATTTGGTAAGCGCCTAAGTGGCGTTTGAAATTTAAAACTAGAGTTAACTTTTTGAAGTTTGCAGTGCGTAGCGTTAACTGGCGCTTTTCAGGATGGGCCACACACTCGATTTCTATCAAGTGTCGCACTGATATGTGAATATTAATATTTCGCTTCGGCCCATAACAATTTATGAGAGATGGCCCTTGAAGAAGCTGATGTTTCACTCTTTCACTGAAACTGGGACAAATCTGTTCGATGAAAGGTCACTTTTGACTTAGATGGGTTTTGATCCGGCGTTCGATTATGCGTTTGCCGGTGGCGTCACGAGCCACTCCCTCCATTCCGTCATGATCAATGGTTGACTGCTTTGATTGTGATGTGATTTGTAAGCGTTGCCCGTTCACAGCCCTCTGCACTCGTCCGGGCATCAGGATATCTCTCCCACATCTCCTCCGGTTCTCGCGCTGGGTAGACACTTTGGACCAGTTACCGCTCAGGAAGCGTTGCTACAGATGCGCGACGTCGCGACTCCTGCTACACAATTGCAAGGCTCGGAATACATACAGGTTTCGCTGAATAAAAAAACAAGGATATTCTGGCGCTATCGCAAGAAATGGGAAGATCTCTGGGAAGTATACCAGTGGGGGCAGGCTCAGGAGAAAATGAAAATTTCTCCCACATTTCGAGGTCTCTTTTTCTACTCATAAGGCCTATTTGTAAGACAAAAAAGATGTTTGAGGTGGCTCAAGCGCGATATCGCCGCAGTGCCCCGTATCTTGTGATAGCGCATATATAATTCGAAGAGAAAGGGAGGCGGATTAGACCGATATGCTTTTGTGACTCGATTTTTCTCTCTATGTGAAAACGCGTGATGCCATCCTTCTAAACTTTTCCGGGTAAATGACTTTTTCCGAGCAGCTCTTTCCCAGGTCTGTTGGTACACAAGGCGAACGACTGATAGTCTGACTGACCTGATGCTGACAACCGTCGCAAGATTTGAAAGAGGTAACATCCGTTCCAGCCCAAGTTTCACTCACACAACATTAATCTCCCTAACTCCAAAAACTGCAGCAAACACAATTGCTCTTCCTACCATTAGCTCTCAAAACAATAGTACCGCGACGGTGCCTGAAGTGCAGGGTTCCTTTTTTTTCATTGGAACTACTCCAGTTGGCTTCTCTGAGCTGCTCGGCAATGGCCGATGGTTTAGTGGTCTGGAGACGGTAAGGACAATGAACAAAGGTTTGATTTTGCTCATTAAGAGACAATTCAACGTTTTTTTTCGTAAGACCTTGCAGGAAGCTCCTCAATCTCACAAATGCCGATGGTTTCGCAAGAAGATCAACTCCGAAGAATTGTTAGCGCCACATAGCTGACATGCTAGTGAAGAAAAGTGGGAAAGAAATCGCAGAAAACGCTAAGGATTAGGGTCTCCTTTTTTGTTCGATGGACCTCTTTACGAGACGGGCAGTTCAGAAAAAATGGCGCTCATTCGAGAGGAAAGGCTGGGAGACGAGCGAGAGCATAGGGGACGGAGAGACGCAGACGTCAACAACATTCATAGCGGCGGACATGCGCAAAGGCGTTGGTAAGACGTTGTGCAAGACCCAAGCCAATACAGTGCGTTTCATAATTATAAGGTCACCCTAAAACTTTGCATTTCCGGGACAAGCAGCAGACTGGTAATTTTTCTAGTATTACCAGCTTATTCCTCACTA